CAACCACACATCCAAGATATCATCTCTTAAGTTTTCTCACCAGCAACAACTGTATACAAAACAAGCTGCATTTTGTGCAGAAGTTCCACAGGAAAATGAAGGGATTCAGACCTATGTTTTCAACAAAATAAAGCCATTATTTTCAAGCAGCAGAAGATCACATGCTGCAACAGCAATACAAGTAGCCATAATTCATCTATAAACATTGCAATCTCCAAGATTTCTTGGATGATGGCAGTAGGAAAATGTTCACTCTTTTCTGTCAAAATAACCAGGCAGAATCAACATACATGTCCATCTTCTAGGGTCCCTTTTCATAACTTTCTTCAACTAGGCTTTCTGCAGTTTCCCTGGCAAAGCAAAGTTGAAGAATGTCTGGACCATGCTCATTTTTTGTCATACTCCATAGAAAGTTGTATATGGAAAATGCACTTCCAACTAATGTGCTTAGTAAAGTTAGGATCAATTTGTATAGTTGACCTAGGATTTTTTCACCGTTTATTTTATACCCAGTAGTCTACCAATGTTGGATATACAATTGGAGTTTCTCCATAGGTCTAACTTCATATAGAAATTTTGGTTCATTTGAATTGTGAGCATGTGATTTTTGCCCTATATAAATTACTCCTATAAAATCCAAGATAATAGATTTCTCCCAATTGTTTGTAATTTTATAGGATTTTTGTAGGAATTTGTATTAATTGTTTGCATTTTCTGTGCATGTTTATTTTTATTAAAATCATAAAAAAATACAAAAAAAAATGACATGCATTGCATTTAGATCTCTGTTTTTATATTTCAGGATTAATTAGTTAACTAATTATTTTGCTCACATTTATATTTTACCTTTTTATTTTTAAATTAGTGATTTTTCTTTTCTTATTTAGGATCAAGTACTTTCATTAATTAAAGAAAAGGAAAAGAAAAACAAAAGAAAAAGTTGGAAAAAAAGGAAAAAGAGAAGAGGGCTGGATTTGTAAAGCCAATTGGGCCAATTTTAATCCCCAAAACCACCCTAGATCCAAGCCCATACATGGGATTACCCGGTCCAGTTTGCCCTAGCGTTAAACGGCTCCGTTTTGGGGCCTTGTCATCACAGCTGTTGATTTTGTGTGATCCAATGGCTGTGAACTGGGCATTGGTTTTGTATAAAAGTTTCCGAAACCCGGTCCACCCCATTAGAACCCCCCTCATTCCATCTCTAACGCCAAATCCAAAAAAACCCAGTCGCTCTAACTTCCCCCACCACCTCCACCGCCCTCCGCTGCCGAAAATGGCCTCACGATGGCGGAACTTCTCCAAATGGCCCCAAATTCTTACCATGTCACCGTCGTCCCCTCCCATTTCCAAATCCCCAAACCACATCCTTCAAATCCCTTCCGGTTCGGCCAAATCTTAGATCTAAGAATATGGGTCTGTTGCATATCCCCTCTTTTCCTTTTATTTTTTTGTTCCATGGGTCTAGATGTACTCCAAGCGCCTGCTCTTGGCAAGAGCAAACATTTGAGGGTCGATTTTAGTAGAATCAAAGACAAAACAAGAAAAAAGCTAAGTCTGATTTTCCTTTTCTCCTTTATTAGGGTTTCCTTTATTTTGCTTTTCTTTCTTGTTTTGCCTGAATTTTGGTTCCCGTTAATAAATAAAATATGTTGTTAGGGTTTCTCTTCATCTCTGTTTTCTTGATTCATTTTTCTTTCAGTAGCTTTAATTGTTCTTTTCTTCACTTTTGTTTTGTTCTTTTATTTTGTTGTTGTTCTTATCATTCTATGCATGCTTTGATTCATACCATGAAGAACGGAAAAAAAGGAGAGAAAAATGGGTTCAGAACACTATCTTTAGGGTTTCTTGTTTATTTTTTGTTCTCCTTTGATTTTCTTTCTTTTTTCTGTTAATTAACCAGTAATAATACTTAGTCGTTTAGGTTAAATGTCGCATTGTTGTTTGCATTGTTGTTTGCAGTTCTTGTTATGAATTTTTCTGTTCTTAGTTGTTTAAGTTGGCATATTTTTAGGTTAATTACAATAATTAGTTTGTGTTGGTTCATTGTTTATCGGTTGCCTTTTCAGCAGTATTCTGTTTTGAGTATTATAATCATTAGTTGTTTAGGTGTGGTTTATGTTCATTACAGTAGGGTTCATGATGATTTTGTCTTCGTTAGGTTCATTTGTTTTAGGTGTTTAGGATTCAATCACTATCTGGTTTTGATCCTTTTTTATTATCAAGTGGTCTCTTGTTCATATTTGTTCAATTTGGCAATGTTAGACATCTAGGGGTCAAATGAACAATAAAGGAATTTTAGGGGGTCATTTGAGAGATAAAAATTAAGAAAAAAGGATATGGATGCCTTAGGAATGTTCTAGAAATAGGGGGCAGCTGTCCCTATTTGGTTGGCACAAAATGATGCGCCAATAAGGGACAGTCAGCTGTCCCGGGCGGTTAAAAGATGCTTTTTCAGGCTAAAGGAAATTTTTTCCCGATTTGTTTTCTAGCACATGGCCTTTTAGGCCTATAAGTAGTACCATTCTTTCACTCATTGGGAGATAGACATACCGATTTGCAGAACTCTAGAATACTGAAAAAGGCTTGACTACTACACTAAGTAGCTGATTTCAATTCTCTTGGATTTTTAAAAGAAAAAAAAGCTTTCAATACTTTACTGATTTTCTGGCTTGAGCATGGATTAAACTGGGTGCTACAGCTGCTAACTATTGCTTGCTAACTACTGCTGGTTTCACTATCTTTTGCTGAAGCTGTTATTGCTTTTTTTTTTTGCTGTATCCAGGTACTTCACATACTATGAAATGCAAAATTTGAAGCTATAATATGTTAGCTGGACGTAAAAACTCCAGATCCATTTTGTTAAACACTTTTTTTTGTGTCTTCTTCCTCTATTATCAGTCCTTTCTTTCATTTGTATATGTTCTATTTTTCTGTAAATTTGACGTCTACTTTCATCTAGATAGTATTAATGTTTAGTTGGAAGGTTAGAATAGGATTAATATTTCATGTGGTATTTGTTGAACAATTGATCATTGTTTGAAGCTGTAATATTTGGAGACCTTGTTAGACTTGCGTTGGGTAAGTGTATTCAGTTAAATCATATTAAGTATTCGTACTAATCAAAGTTAGATTAATGCATGATAATTTCATGCGGGTATTTATTAAATGCTGAATCATTCTTAAGATTGTTAAAATTAGCTGGTGCATGCAAATATTTCACGGTGTTGCTATTAAATAGATCATTAGAAGCTGATTTTACAATTTGGTATCCATGTATTCAATGTTCAAAAATAGTTGGGTTTGGCCACAAGTGAGTTAAATGGTTTTAGCCTAAAAGGGTCTTAATGCTGAAGACCCTCTTCGTTAGAGGCTATTGGGCCAAACTTGGGCCCATATCACGATGTTCGCTTTTGAGCATAGGCTCAGCGTTGGGTCATTGCTTCTTTTGGGGCTTGATCCCAGGTCTTTCAGTTTCAACAATTCGTTGAGTTTATCCAAATTGATGCAACGAAAATGGTTTCTGTTTTAACGACTGAAGTTTTCGATCATAAGTCCAGCTTTTGGCCCCCTTTGAAATTATGGTGACCACCTTGTCCTTATTGATGGGCTTAATGTTGAGCCCCGTTTCTCTTGTCTTCTTTCTCGTGATTTTTGAATAACTTTGGGCATGTTGCTGGCCCCGAACTCCTTTGAATAAATAAGTATCTAATATACTATCCAAAGCATGCTTATAATTAGTAGGACTGAATTGAGCTTTAATGGTGCTAAGCCTCAACACCTTAGGCCTAATTAAGTGTAATTTTTTTTTTAATTGTATTGAGGTGTGCCATCCATAATTAGATCATCCATGACACTTATCAACTAGATCAAGATCTAACGTCTTTAGTTTATTGTAGCTAAATACAATTCCTTTAAAGAGAAAATGGATTAAGGTGTGCCATACATAATTAGATCATCCATGGCCCTCACAAATGTTGTAACTTAGATATTAATGAATTTTCGTAGTTTGCTTTAGGCGCGTTACAATAAATTATCATGGCTACGAGTACGGTTCCCGTGACGTAGTTGTGATTTGTAATTACTAAAATACGAGTGTACATTTCATGTGACCCGACTTTAATTTCCAACAATGTTAAATAAAATAAACGTATCGTGAACCGCGGATGCATTTCATGTAGCGCGGTTTACGATGTGTTTTCAAAAACAATCATGAGTTTTCCTAAAAAGAATAGAAGCGGTTACAAAGTTAAAAATGCACGTAGGTTTAAAATGTGTAATTAATCAGATATAGGTCAATTATCAATAGTTTAAGCGACTATGCTAGAACCACGGAACCCGAAAATGCCTCACCTTCTCTCGGGTTAACAGAATTCCTTATCTAGAATTTCTGGTTCGCAGACTTATAAAGTAAAGTCGAAATTTCCTCGATTTGGGATTTTAAACAAGTCGATGACTTGGAACACCAAATAAACTATTCCAAGTGGCGACTCTGATAAATTAATCAATCTCATTTCGATTTATGTCACTTTAATTAAAAAAACTCTCTTATACCCCTCGGGTGTAAAAAAGAGGTGACATGAATGTCTTTTTGGGATGATCAAGTGTACAATCATCTCTTGGGAGGTAAGGTTTATGTCCCCCTCCACTGTTGTAATTTACCTTATATTTATGAAAATTAACACTAGGCACAAGGCCTAGTGGACTTTGATTTAAAAAAAAAAAAGATTATTAGTTACAGCCTTAAACTATTCGTGGTCTTAACTCTTAATAACCTCAACTTGACCTTTTGAGAGTCATTACCCCCTGGACGCTGGTGTGGCAAAAAGTGTGGGTACACTCGCCTGCCATGTGAATTTTTCTGTATATATGGCATTTTTTTAAAAATAAAATATATATTTACCCTCCCCCCTTCATGAGAACCTACGCAGCACGAATCCGGATATAATCGGGTTCCAATGTGAGTGTCGGACACCGAGTGAGAAACAAAAGAAAAAGTCAGATCACTTCTCAAAGTTAAAGGGCTCATAATTTAACAAAGAGGTCATGTCACCTCTCAAAGTTAAAGCACTCATAGTTACAGAAACTGAAATGTTTCTACAAACTATGGGATCCAGGTGAATAATATTATCAGACCAGATTATATATTAAAGTAAAACGATTAAACTATTAAATAACTAGAGTTCAAGGGCCTTTCTCTTTCCCTTCAGTGACACTTCCCTCTCCATCCTGCTTGGCAATTGCAACCAACCCCTGTTAATTAGTTCAGATGGAAAAAACCAAAATATAAAGTTAGCTATCAAGTACAAGTGCATTTTTCACAAATAACAAATGCCTAATATTACTATTTCCACCCAATCTTATTCCATAATTTATCGCAAAATCATTCGAGGTTAAGTGTTTACCAGTGGTTGCGCTTAACCAGATCCAAAAGGGGAGAGGACACACACCGTTCGGTGAGTGAAAGACGAGGAAATGCCAATTCCAGTGTCTCCTAATGCTTTTTTTTTTTTTTTGGGGG